GCATGCGTGTTGCCAACAGCCACTACCTCTTTCCGTGTGGTACTAACAGCCACGCTCCATAGGGGGGCAGCCTTGCTTCAGGGGGTATTGGGGGGCAAAGGGATGTTGGGTGAGGGCATGGTGAGGGTCACAGGTAGAGGGTATTGGCATGGGTACAGGGGTCAGAGGTTAAAAGGTCAAAGGGCATGGGGCATAGGGTTGCATGCGTGTTGCCAACAGCCACTACCTCTTTCCGTGTGGTACTAACAGCCACGCTCCATAGGGGGGCAGCCTTGCTTCAGGGGGTATTGGGGGGCAAAGGGATGTTGGGTGAGGGCATGGTGAGGGTCACAGGTAGAGGGTATTGGCATGGGTACAGGGGTCAGAGGTTAAAAGGTCAAAGGGCATGGGGCATAGGGTTAGGGGTCAAAGGGTGTTAGGCATTGGAGAGCAAGGGGCTGGGTTGGGGCTAGGCAGTCAGGCAACATTGTATTTGCATATTTGCATATTCAGTATTTGCATAAAGAATGTGCAAATGTGAACATAAAATATTACTGGTCCACCAAAGGTTTGTGAGTGGGTTTGCCGGTCCTTGGCATAAAAAAGGTTGGGAACCACTGATTTGACCTTTCCAGATGTGGAGAGAGCCTCTGTTTCCTGATAGCCATCACACAGCAGAGGAAGAAGAAAGTCCAAGAGGCATTCCAGATCCTTAACAAGCATTGTTTTGTTTGTTTGATCACCAGCTTTTTTTTTTCCACCTGCAGCAAGTTTAAATGCTATCCTCTGTGACAAGAATTCCCTATGTGCCTCTTTGCCCTTTTATTTTTTAATGAACTCTTAGCAATATGTATTTTAAAACCCACAAAACTTTTCACATCTTTTTTCTAGACAGTAACTGCAATGGATTAAATCTATTCTAACCATACTTAAAATAAGAAACTCCCCTACATATCCCACACAGGAGATAATATAATATCATGACAGCATGCAAATAAAATAATGGAAAAACCAACATTCTAAACATGAGAACAGTTCTGCTGGGTCAAATTAATAGTCTGTCTAGCCCAGTATCCTGTTTTCTGGCAGTGGCCAACGCCAGATGCTTCAGAGAGAATCAACAGAAAAGGGCAGTTCATTGAGTGATCCATCATGTGTCATCCAGTCCCAGAATTTGGCCGTTAGAGGATTAGGGATATCCAAAGCATGATGTTGTATCCCTGACCATCGTGGGTAATAACCAATGATAAACCTATCCTTCATGAACTTATCTAATCATTTTTGGCACCTGTTACATTTTTGGTTTTCACAACTTCCGCTGGCAATGAGCTGTACAGGTTGACGCTGCAATGTGTGAAGAAATACTTTAGTATGTTGGCTTTAAACCTGCTACCTATTAGTTTAATTGGTTGACCCCATGTTCTTTCCTGTCTTTTTAATTTCGCCTCATATGGTAGCTGATCTGTATCTGTAATTTTTGTTGCCTTGATGTTGTCTATATCTGTACTTTCCCCACTTGTAGTGTGTATATATATATATATATTTTTGTGATAGGGTGACTAAAACTACATTCCAAGTGTGGGCATACCATGGATTTATATTGGGACATTATAATATATTCCTTTTGTAGTGGTTCTTACCATTCAGTTAGGTTTGGGGTTTTTTATTATTGTTGCACATTAAGCAGATATTTTCAGAGAACTATTCACAATGACTCCGAGATCTCTTTCTTGCGTGTTAACAGCTAATATAGACCCCATCATTTTATATGTATGGTTGAGATTGATAAATGCAAAGTAATGCACTTTGGAAAACAACGTTAAATTTTATCTGCCATTTTATTGCCGAGTCACTCAGTTTTATTAGATTTCAGCATCCGTTTTGTATTGAATTATCTTGAGTAATTTTGTATTGTCGGCAAACTTTGCTACCTCACTGTTTACTTCTTTTTCAAGATTAGTTTCTGAATATGTTGAACAGCATTGGTTTGAGTACAGATCCTTGTGGGACCCTGCTATTTATTTCTCTCCCCTGTGAAAATGGGAAAATTAACCATTTATTCTTATCCTTTGTTTCTGATCTTTTTTAACTAGTTTTTGATTCATGATAGGTAGGGCCCTACCAAATTCAGTCATGAAACACATAACTGTGTGAAATCTTGTATCCTCCCGGGAAATCTGGTGTTTTGTGTGCTTTTACCTTATGCTATAGGTTGAACTTCTCTTGTCTGGCACTCTCTGGTCCAGCAACTTCTGTGGTCCGGCATGATTTTATCTGGATGGCCACTTATGGGTGTGACCAAGTTTCCCACAGCCTCATAAAGTTTGTTTACAGCCAGCAGTCTTGGCTCTCAGTATTGTGTGCTGCTATTTAACTCTAATTTACCCCTAAATGTCTTCTAAGAGCCTAATAAGCAGTGGAAGTGTTGGTACTACTGCTAGACAATACAGGCAGTCCCCGGGTTACATGGATCCGACTTACATCGGATCCCTACTTACAAATGGGGTGAGGCAACCCACCCCACACTAGCTGCTTCCCCCCAGCAGACCAGGGAGATGCGAAGCTAGCGCCCCCCCCCCCACCAGACCAGGGAGCCGCGGAGCGGCTTTTCTCGACGCGGAGGACGCGGGTCTGCTGGGGGGACAAGACACCAGCCAAAAGGGGGCACTCTAGAGCAGAAAAATTAATTTCCTAGGGAACAGCAGGAGCAGCAGGCAGTGAGACCCATTGTGTTACAGTCCCCACCGTGGGAGCAGCAGCAGAGACTAACCTAGAAAAAGAGAGAGAGTGTAACATGAGCTTTTGGGGAACGAGGTGTACAGATAGTGCGGACGGCTTGCTAGTTCGAACTATCTAGCCCGTGCCGCGTGTAGCCGCACGGCACGGGGTTCGAACGAGCCGGGATTTAAAAATGGCGGCGCCCGGTTTATGCAAATGAAGCCCGGGAAATTCAAATCCCGGGCTTCATTTGCAAGTGCGGTATGCCTACATTACCCTCCTAGTTCGAACTAGGAGCGTAGTGTAGACATACCCTTATAGACTAACAGTTGTATTGGAGCATAAGCTTTCATGGGCAAAGACCCACTTTATCAGATGCATGTAGTGGAAATTTCCAGCGGCAGATATAAATATGTAGGCCAGAATAAGGCTAGAGATAATGAGATTAATTCAGTCAGGGAGGGTGAGGCCCACTTCTAGCAGCTGATATGGAGGTGTGAACACGAAGAGAGGAGAAACAGCTTCTGTAGCTGGCTAGCCATTCACAGTCTTTGTTTAATCCTAAAATGATGGTGTCAAATTTGCAGATGAACTGTAGTTCAGCAGTTTCTCTTTTAAGTCTGGTCTTGATGTTTTTTTGCTGCAGGATGGCTACCTTTAAATCTGCTACTGTGGGTCCAGGGAAATTGAAGTGTTCTCCTACAGGTTTTTGTATATTGCCATAACTAAGATCTGATTTTGTCCATTTTACGTAGGGACTGTCCAGTTTGGTTGATGTATATAACAGAGGGGAATTGATGGCATATATTACATTGGTAGATGTGCAGGTGAATGAACCAGTGATGGCGTGGCTGATCTGGTTAGGTCCTGTGATGGTGTCGCTGCTGTAGATATGTGGTCAGAGTTGGCACCGAGGTTTGTCACATGGATTGGTTCCTGAGTTAGCGTTACTGTGGTGCGGTGTATAGTGGCTGGTGAGAATTTGCTTCAGGTTGGCAGTGGGTGAGAACTGGCCTGCCTCCCAAGGCCTGTGAAAGTGAGAGATCATTGTCCAGGATGGGTTGTAGATCACTGATGATGCGCTGGAGAGGTTTTAGCTGAGGACTGTAGGTGATGGCCAGTGGTGTTCTGTTGGTTTCTTTCTTGGGCTTGTCCCATAGCAGGAGGCTTCTGGGTACATGTCTGGCTCTGTTAATCTGTTTCCTCACTTCCTTGTGTGGGTATCGTAGTTTCAAGAATGCTTGGTGAAGATCTTGTAGGTGTTGGTCTCTGTCTGAAGGGTTGGAGCAAATGCGGTTGTACCTTAGTGCTTGGCTGTAGACAATGGATTGTGTGGTGTATCCAGGATGGAAGCTGGAGGCATGAAGGTAGGCATAGCAGTCGGTAGGTTTTCGGTATAAGGTGGCGTTTATGTGACCATCACTTATTTGCACCATGGTGTCCAGGAAGTGGATCTCTTATGTAGACTGGTCCAGGCTGTGGCTGATGGTGGGGTGGAAGCTGTTGAAATCGTGGCGGAATCCTTCCAGAGTCTCCTTCCCATGGGTCCAGATGATGAAGATGTTATCAGTGTAGCGTAGGTAGAGAAGGGGCATTAGTGGACAATATTAACCTCCCATTGTTCAGCAAATTCTCTGGTTTGGCACTACAGGCAGTCCCTGAGTTACGCAGATCCAACTTATGTCAGATCCGCAGTTACGAACGGGGCTTTTCTCGCCCCGGAGGACGGGAGCGGCGGGACGCCCAGATGCGCCACGGTCCGCCGCCCCCGTCCTCCGGGGCGAGAAAAACTGCTCCCCGTCTCCCTGGTCTGCAGGGAGACGGGGAGCAAAGCCTTGGAGCATGCCCGCAGCGGGACAGCCATGGCGCGCCTGGGCTTTCCTGCTGTGGGTGTGCTCCAAGGCTTTGCTCCCCATCTCTCTGGTCTGACCAGCAGACCAGGGAGATGGGGAGCAAAGCTTCGGAGCATGCCAGCAGTGTGACAGCCGCGGCGCGCCTGGACTGTCCCGCTGCCCGTGTGCTCTGCGGCTTTGCTCCGGGTCTCCCAGGTCAGCAGACCAGGGAGACAGAGCAAAGCCGTGGAGGACTTGGGCGGTCCCGCCACCCCCGTCTCCCTGGTCTTCT